GTATACCCAATCATTTGCCAGGAATTAATAAATTATGTCACACCATTCAGTCTTTTTTGAAGAAGCAACGACATAAGTAATAATTATTTTAGGGTAAATTACGAAAAAAAAACCTATATTTGGTTAAATTACGAAAAAACACCTCCACATATTCCTAGTTACCAAAATCTCCCGACGTTTGTTTCCGTCTTACGCATACCTCTTACAATGTGATTCTTCACGGAATCTTTTTCATTCATGGGAATATTTCCCGAAAAATGTCATTTTTACCCCTGTAGATGTGGCATTTCTTTAAGCTACTTCTTAAAGACAATAATTATCCTCGAAGAAGAAATGTTAATACTAAAAAATTGTGAAGATGTTATTTGAGGATAAAGATTCCATGTAAAGGTAATTTTATCTTTAAAAAGTAGTATAAAGAAACGCTACGATTACAGGGGTAGAATCGACATTATTTGTGAAATATTTTCTGGAATAAAAAAGATTTCAAGACAAATCACACCGTAAGGGGTCGGTGTAAGACGTAAACAAACATCGGGGGTATTTCGGTAATCACGGATTGGTGAAATGTTTTTCGTAATTTAGCCTAAGTTCAGGGTTTTTTTTTTTTGTAATTATTAAAATAATGGAAAAACTTAATAAAATGACATAATACTATAAATTATGAGTAGGATGTATAAATTTGGAAACTTGTGTATTAGAATAAAAGATACAACTCCTTTGATCAACAATTGAATAGAATAGGGTGTGCAACAACTCAAACCTGCCACATTTAATCCCACACAGACAAATTGCACATGAAAACGTGCTATCTATCTATTCCAACTTGCTGGAAATTGCTCCAATTATTATTATCACTTAATTAATTAAGTAAATAAATTCCCATACCAAATTTTATCATCTCTACTTGTATTGTATTATTATTATATTATTTATTATTATTGTATTATTTATTTTTACCGCCGCTATTCATGTTGAACAATAAAAACGTGGTTGTAACTTGTATATGTATAAGTAGTATAACCGTATTTTTGCCTAATTAATTATCACCAACTCGAGTTCATGCTATTCTTTGAAAATATATATATTGTGAAAAATTAGGATAAACTATATTCATCGGGTTTTTTTTTTTAATTTAATTTTATTATTACGTGTCATCTAAATGAACACTAATTAAGTTATTACCCCAGCCGTTCCTTTTTAATTGTCGTTTTTTGGTTTTTCACAAAGGTTAAGGATTTCAGGGTAAAATTCAAAATCATCCCTGAGGTTTGCACCCAACTTCAAATTCATCCCTGAAGTTCTAATTGACTTCAATTTCGTCCTTCCAAGCCTCATTTCACCGGCAAATTTGGAAAGAAATAAATAAATACCAAGACTACCCTTTATTAAAAGGTGACCTTAATTTGGTGGAAAAAAATAGTTTGAAAAACTAGTTGGAAAAAAGAAATGTTGGGGAAAATTTTAGGTTCTATAAATATGAACACAAACAAACCATAGAAAAAATCATGCATTCATCGAGAGGCATAAGTCATAACCATGAAATTTTATTGTGGGTGCCGAGATTAGATTAATAAAACTAAATATTTGTGGGGTTTCAGAGACGGAACCCCGATCTTTTTTTAAAATTTGTCATATTAAATACAGAAAAGTAAATATTTATAAACTTTAATTAAAATATTATATATTAAACATATATTTAAAAAAATTTATTGAAACTCTTTTTATTTGGTTAATTATTATGCAATTTATGTGGGTTATGTAAGATGAACTAGTTGAATGTGTATCATTTGAACTGGAAAAAAAAATGACGGCTTACCTTTTTTTAATGATGGAAATATAGAGACTAATTATCAAATTCATATATTAAATAATGTATTAAATTTTAATTAGAGTCCATGTTAAAAAAAATCATATATAATCTTCAAAGAGAAAAATAATAAATATTATTTTCCTTTTGAAAAAATGGAACCAAATAGTTAATAAAAGTGGTAAAGGGCAGTTTTGGGAGTTTACAAAATTTCTTCTCATTTGGCCGGTGAAAAAATGCTTGAAGGATGAAATTGAAGTTCAATAGAACCTCAGGGATGATTTTGAAGTTGACATCAAATCTCAGGGACTAATTTGAATTTTACCCAGGATTTCATTAAACATGACTTGATTTTAGAAATATTTTTTTTGACTAAAATGCCCTTGCCGCTAGTTAGTAGGAGAGAGTGTTAGAAAGATGTCAAAATGGTAAAATTGACAATTATAATTGACAATTATACAATTATACAATGTATCCTGAAGTGACAGATCATATGGAATAAAAAAAAATTTATCAAAAAATGACAAATATTGTCGAACAGAGGAAGTAAATATTTACAACATTCATTTTATTGCGAAAAAGTTTGTATTTGACAATTTTACCGCTTTGTGACGTTTCAATTTTCATCTTCCTCTTTCTCGCTATATATATTAATTTATATTAATGTTATGATAAAGTCGGAAATATCTATATATATATATATATATATATATATATATACGAATATATGAGGAGAAAAAATAAATGTTTGTAAAATCTATTTCTATCATTAAACTCTGGAGCCCTCCGAATTAATAGTGAGTGGACATATGAGTATGGATTTCATTATCGTGTAAACATATATTCGAGGTCAATATTAAATGTTTCTTCCAGATTTTATTAAGTTAGATGATTATTAGTTATTTCCATTATATTATCAGTCAATTAATTATTAATTTGTGGGGTCTAACATTTTTTTTTTCTTCTTGACATTGATATTTTTTTTTTTCTTTTCTGTTTTTCCTTTTCGACAAACAAGTAATCCCGCGATGTGGATTGGATAAATTTTGCTCTCTTGTAATAATTCATACAAGAAAATTTATGTGACGAACTCGGTCTAAAAATAGAGAAAGATAATAATATTTAGAAAATTTACAATTTTAATCCGCTAAGTTTGTCTGATTTAACATTTGACCTATCATGTTTAAAAAAAAATACATTTGGTCCATCATATTTCAATAATTTAACACTTTTGGTTAATTCCGTCGATTTACCGTATGCTCGTCAGTTAAGTCATTCATAACACACGTTTGATTCTGTTAGTACTAACGGAAAATTGACAAGAAGGACTCAAAGTGTTGAATTTTTAAAACATGAGGGACCAAATGTGTTTCTTTTCTAAATGTCGGGGACCAAATGTGTAATTGGTGCAAACTTGAAGGATGGAAACTATATTCCTCATATTTTAGTTAAACTTTATAAAAAAAAATTTAATTTTCTTTTGTTGCCACGTATATATCAGTGCATCCAGTAGTGAATAGTCCATTAATACCTGATTAGTTGGTACTTAATTAGCCTCCTAAGCTAAGTAAATCATTTGAATTAACAAATGGTCACATGCATACATCAAAATCTGAAATAAATTACATGTACTATGATAATAAATGACTGACTCCTTAATATATATATATCTACCATTAATTAAATACTAGTCCTTGTTTCTGTGTCAATATATAAATAACTTGTACGTATATTATATGTATACTGTATACATATATATATATATATATATATATATATATATATATATATATTGCATTTAGTTCAAATAAATGTGCTGAAGGCTAGCCTGGAACAGCTAAAACTGAAGCAATACGATGACAAGACGATGTAACATATCTATCAGTAAATCTATGGGAGTTC